ATTTTTACCTTTGTTTCTTTTGTATAATTCATATTAAACCTGTTTTCCACCTTCTAACTGAGAATAACAGTCAGGCGGGGAGGAGGACAGCTGTAACCTCTGTCTTCAGTCCATCTCAGACCCRTYGTGSWAACTCTGAACCACTGAAGGGTCCTCTGGATCAGTCTGAACTTTTCAGGAGAGTAAGAGTGATTCTTAGACTTAAGAATTTTGATAACTGGCACTTACATTTAAGTCTGAGAGTAGGAGCAAATCTAAGAAATTTTCAGCACTTAAGTCTAAAAATCCACTCTAAGAAGTTTGATACGGGCCCTGATCAACACTTACAACAAAGGGTCACCATTAGTTTCAATTAGGACCAGAAGTTGTCGCCCAGCAGACCACAGAGAACCACTGAAGATCTGAAAAAGAACCAAGACTGTAAATGATGTCTTTTGTATAAATTTGACATATTTGTTAAAATAAAGTCTTTTAAATGTTCTTCAGTCAAGATTAGAAACATGTGAAAACAAACAGATCTGTGGTTCTGACAGAACGTTTGTCCACGACTGAAATAATCAAGCTTGAAATAAAAACTCTTCACTCATCCTTCAAACATCATGTAAGACAGAGTTATTGTGATCAATGTGTGACAAAAATCTTACATATTTTAACAGAAATCAAAGAGAAGGCAGCCTCTTCACCAAGGTAAGACCCTGATCTGTTTGTGCCTTACAGTGAAGAACAGAGTTGTTGTGTATCACAGGCTGAAGGAACTGCAGAGCCTCAGTTTCACTTTGTTACTTTGTTTTTTTGTGTGTCTGATTTTTATTATGAAAGAAAAACCAAACACTGATAAACAAAGTGAATAAAGTCAATCAGTTATTAAATAATTATAAAAATGTTGAAATGTTCTTGAAACAGGCCCAAATCTGTCCTGACCACATCTCAGAAGGACTCAAGCCAAAGTCCCAGACCCAGCCCATCTGGTCCAGGATCCAGGTACGAGTCCGTCCTCTGGTGCCTCCTGCTGCTCAGTGTTTGTGTGCGTCAGCGTCTCTGCTGTGCTCAAAACTTTGACCTGCAACTTGTCGTCCCACCTGCCACATTTCTCCACTTCACTTCAGGTTTGGGTCATTTTTTCAGAGGACTGGGAGTTTGGAGTTCTGTTGGTTCTGATGACTGCAGGCTCCACCGAGGCCCTGACTCTCAGAAACTTATTTCCTCTTTCAGCTCTTGGTATTTCTCCAGCTGCTCCTTCGTCCTGATGTTCAGTCGGGATCTCTGCACCTGTCACCACTGCCTTCTTTTTCACGTGGACCACCATGTCTGTTGGTTAGCCATCACTTGTGTGTCCWTCTGGATCTGGAAGTCTTCTGGTATCTTAGCCCTGCTGTTGTCCACCACCCTACTTTGACTGCAGGACCTCTGCAGGACAGATGTTCCTGTACAATATTTCATTCATTTGGTCCTGGTGGTCCATGTAGTCTTTACCTGTCTGGACCTTACATCCTGCTTTTACAGCGGGTAAAATAAGTATTGAACACGTCACCATTTTTCTCAGTAAATATATTACTAGAGGTGCTAATGACATGAAATTTTCACCAGATGTTGGTA